AAAACGTAATAATCACTTTAATGTAGTTTGCGCGCACTGTTGTACACGGAAGCAGTTTCCGGGCGGATGACGTATGAGGTCGGCTTTGCGCATGCGACGCTCAGAAGTGACGAACGTGGAAGCGCAGCGGAGAGATCAAAACAAAACAATGGTCACTAATTAGAAGTACAAAACGAGGATTTGTAAAGAAGAATGTCGGAGGATTTCGATATAAGCCAAGAGGAGACTGGTTTTCCTTTGCTAAAGTAAGGAAACTTTGCTTCCTTTGATCCTGTTAACAAACGTTGGTTTTCACGAAACTCACCGGCGCATGCACAACGCTGACCTCATACGTCATCCGCCCAGAACTGCTTCTGTGTACAATAGTGAGCGCAAGCTACATTAAAGTGATTATTACGTATTGAATATGGATAATTTCTTACAAAACGCATCGATTCGCTACAGGAGGCCTTTGTTCACCCCCCGGAGCTGTGTGAGACACTTTCTTTTTATGGATGGACGCTTTTTATTCAAGTTCTTTTGGACTGATGCATGCAACACCCGCTGAGTGCCATTAAACAGCTTGAAAGATCAAAGACCTTTAACACCCCCCATTTTGCATCTACATGTAAATTGCACAAACATATTCTATTCATTTGATCGCATGATTTCACATCTCAGAGATCCCATGCATTTACCCACCTATTGACCCTCCCCTTGAAAAAATGACAGAAGTGGTCGAAAGTGGACAAAAGAAATGGTGATATGGAGACTGCCTATTTGTGATGCGATCAAACAAAACACATTTTAAACCCAGGTGTAAACAAGGCCTAAATCTGCTGCTCAGGTATTTTGAACTATATCAGGCGTGCTTCTGTAAACCTCAAGATTGTCTTTTTTCTGCAAGTCTTTCCACAGTGATGGCACAGCAAAGGCTTCTCTCTGGTGTCATTACATGACTCATGTCACACTGATGACATAAATACAGTTCTCTCATATGTGAAAACTCATGTGGGACTTAAGGCCTGTTTTATATCTGAAACTCTTTCCGCAGTGACCACATGTAAACGGCTTCTCTCCAGTGTGAATTCTCATGTGCCTGTTATGGCTTCCTTTTCGGTTGAAACTTCTTCCACATTGTTGGCAGGTGAAAGGCTTCTCTCCAGTGTGAATTCTTATGTGGTCTTCAAAGTGTCGCATATGATTGAAACTCTTTCCACACTGAGGGCATGTGTAGGGTTGCTCTCCAGAGTGAATTCTCATGTGGTCTTCAAAGGGTCGTTTTTGACAGAAACTCTTTCCACACTCAGAGCATGTGTAGGGTTTCTCTCTATGAGTTCTCATGTGGACTACAAGGTTTTCATGTTGATCAAGAGAACAAGTGTAAGGCTGCTCTCCATAGTGAATTCTCATGTGTCTGTTAAGGCTTCCTTTTTGAGTGAAACTTATTCCACACTGTTGGCAGGTGAAAAGGCTCTCTCCAGTGTGAACGGTCATGTGGCAATGAAGGTTACCTTTCCGGTTGAAACTTCTTCCACACTGTTGGCATTTGTAAGGCTTCTCTCCAGTGTGAACACTCATGTGGGCTCCAAGGTTTCCAAGCTGAGAGAAATTCTTTCCACACTGTTGGCATGTGTACGGCTTCTCTCCAGTGTGAATTCTAATGTGTCTTTTAAGACTTATTCTTTGACTGAAATGCTTTCCACACTGCTGGCAGACATAAGGCTTCTCTCTCGTGTGAATTCTCGTGTGTCTTTTAATACTTTCTGTTTGACTGAAACTCTTTCCACACTGTTGGCAGGTGAAATAACATCTTCTTCCTGTCTTTTGAGCCCTTTTTCTTGAGGAAGTATTTTCAGTCTGTGAACAACTAAAAGATTTTTCTCCATTTATGAAATCATGATCTTTCTCTTCCATTTCATTCAGTACTTCACTCTTCTCTTTCAGTGCCATCAGGTCTACGGTTAAAAAAGACAAACAAATGTTAACCCCAGTTTAATAACACAGAACACATCAAAACATTCAAACATGTAAAGTGTCAAACCTAACATACAACTGCATCTTATATCCACTAAGCAACTGCAAGAGGTGTTGCATGTAATCTGAGGGGGAATTGCCCCCCCAATTTGTTAGTCATGGAATCCCTGATGTCGGCCGCTGCAATTGGAGCGCTTAGCCATACCCTCACCGTGTTTTTGCAGCATTGAGCAATGTAGCCAATCACAGATATCTGTTGATTTCTTGAACGCAATGGCCAATCAGAAACGTTTTGTCAGAATTCACTCACCTCAGTTTTTAAGTGCAGTTTGTAAGATTGCGATGAACGAAGATGAGTGACGCTTTTTAGCGATAAAGGGAGTGCGCTTTGCGCATTTTCTAGGGTATATAATCTATTCAGAATTTGTATGAAACTTTCATTTTTCGGAAACATAGGCTACACCCTGCAAAGTTTCGGGAATGACATCCGCATATTTATGCGGGACTCACTCTCGAAATAGCAGTGATTGGCAATGGACGGAACATAAAATATGTAGATTTAATTCTGGAACCGGTCCTGGCCAAACCTCCACAGACAGCTTGCGTCTCGAGTGAGATCTAATTCACGGACCAAAAGCGTGTGTAAACTTTATTGAGATCGGGACATATTTACGGTAGGGCATTGTTTTGATGCTTACATCAGAAAAAAAAAGATTTTGCTTTTATTTATTTATTTCATATATTTATATATATATATATATATTTATATACTCATTGGTGTTCTTCTTCCGCTCGAGTCTATGGAAGCCTGTAGAACCACTTGCAGGAAAGTTGTGAAATTTGGCACACATCTAGAGAACACGGCAAGTTTGGATTCTCTAACTTAAACCCTCTAGCGCCACCAACAGTTCAAATTTGCACTCAGATTTATGCTAATAACTTTTGAACCATAGAAGCAAAATTCTTAGTTTCTTCTAATTCTTCGGCCAAGTCAAATGGACAACAAAAAGGCAGTGATTTTATTGGATATTATCATGAAAGAAAAACTTGATTTGGTGTGCTTAACGGAAACATGGCACTGACAGTCAGAAAGACTTTTGTTTAATGAACTTCCTCCCACTGGCTATGGATTATTTGATTCCCCACGACCCGGTGGAAGGGGGCGCAGGTATCATTGTGCTGTATAAGAAACAATTCAAAATTAGTCCTGTGGTCATTCCCTATTTTAATTATTTTGAATGTCTTGTTCTGAGTGTCTCTGCACCCATCTCTACTATCATTGTTACAGTCTATAGACCTCCTAAGACAAAGGAAGATTTCATGCCTGAATTTGCTGATCTGCTGTCTATGTTGTGCCTCAAGTTTGAGAGAACTCTGATCCTGGGGATAAGACTTTAACATCCATGTTGACAATAGCCGCTTCTTCAAGCAGTCTCAGGTATTTTCATAAGCATAACGTGTTTTTATTATAGCAATGTTTAGCATATGCAGCATTTAACATCGCGTTTAATAAATTTCTGCCTAATACGGTGATCAGAATTCCCATCAGGTCACAATCGCAAGTTAATTCAGACACTCGCTGGTGTCTGAATTAACTTGCGATTTAACATCGCTGAATTAACATCGCCAGCTATCAGTCAGAAGTGATCAACTGTTAAATCATATTACTATTGATTATATTTACGCTAGGGCTGCATGATAAATCGAAATGGAATCGAGATCGCGATTCGACAGAAGCTGCGATTGTCATGCGTATCTTTCAGTGAAGCACGGTTCTGTGATCAGCAGTAAATCTCCATCCAGGGCCAGAGAAACTCCAAATATGCCTCGCAGAAGAAACCCAGGATCGCTGCAGCTGAATAAACAGAAGATTCAACTGCTTTCATTGATTCAACGTGACTAATAAACACACGACTACGGCAATATACGGTAATATACGGTTTATCCGAGTTCTTCTTATTATAATTTTCATTAAAATAAAGTATATTCATAATGCAATGCCTTTATCACTGCTTAAATACTATGAAATATGTTGCGTGCCTTATTCTGTGTAAGAAGCCACATCATCTCACAGAAGGATTTATTTCAAGCACTCGACTGACGTTATGAAGTGAGTTTGGAGTAAAAACATGTTATTAAATGTGGTATTTTCACGTGCTCTCAGATGGAGCAGCATTTACTTCACAGAGTCGTAGTTCACTGAGAAGCTACGCAAACAGCTGTCATTATTGCAGTGCGATTTCTTCGATTTCATAATCGTGCAATAAAATCGTCTGCGATTTTTTTTGCGTAACTTGTCAGTGAACTACGGCTATGTGTAGTAAATGCTGCTCCATCTGAAAGCACGTGATGATGATTTCTTGCTGATTACAGAACCGGCTTTTTTAATAAAATGTGCATAACAATCGCATTCGATTAATCGTGCAGCCCTAATTTGCACTTGTTTTTTCTGTCATTTTGACGAAAATCATCTTAAAAAAAATGTCTTTAACTGCTCATTGTTGCGGTTGGTCTGATGCTCACTGCCATGCTTGCTCCTCATTCTGCCTCTATTGTGCTTGGTCCCTTAATTGCTGCTTGCAGCTAAATTTCTAAACTGATCTCAAGCTCTCTTTTCTACATCTTCTAGGGGTTAAAATGCAAAAAAAGAAGAAAGAAAATAAAGAAACGTGGGGAAAAGAAACAAGGACAAACTCCTGTGTTAACAGCGTTCTGACACATTGTGTAATTAAAAAAAAAAAACCTCTGGACAGATTGGCAAAATAAATGTGTTATCTCCTGGCGGGGAGTTGGTGTTTATGGAAATAAAATGAATACATATATTTTATATGGTAGCACATAAAAAGCTATAAAATATCATGTCATGCCTCTTGTCTTTTTAAACTCTGGCAGCTCCTGCTCTTTTCACTCTTGCCTGGTTTTATGGGGAATAATGATGCTGTTGGACTCAGAGCCATCTGTTCGTTACAGCAGATAGTAATCTTTAAAACAGTTAGGACAGTTCATAAGATAGTTCAGCTTTGAGAATGAAAACCAACCTGTTTGTTCCTCAGTATCTTCATGTTTGACTCTGAATGTTTCTTCAATCTTCATGTCTTCACTCTCCTCTTTAATAGACCCCATCTTTGTTTGTTCCTCAGTATCTTCATGTTTGAACGTTTCTTCAATCTTCATGTCTTCACTCTCCTCTTTAATAGACACCATCTTTGTTTGTTCCTCAGTATCTTCATGTTTGACTCTGAATGTTTCTTCAATCTTCATGTTTTCACTCTCCTCTTTAATAAACGCCATCTTTAATAACCGTGTGTCACGTGGATCTCGGTCGCTTCAGCAGGAGTTTTTCTGTGCGTTTGGACACTTTGTACTGTTTAAAATTAGAATAATTAACAAATAAAAAAAGAAAAACATTTAATCTCTCTGTGCGCGTCTCAATCAGCTCACTAGTTCAGTAGTCAGTTCACTGGTGAGGGAGTCAGAGTGATAGTTAATGGACTTAAATGATCTGATAAGCCAACACTCAAAACTTTTACTATTTAGTTCTGATTAACAATAGGTACTTAATGATTAATATATTACATTTATTCGATAACACATTTAAAAATTGCTATTGTATTTTAAGCTTGTCATTACAAAAACACATTTGCAGTTGTTTGTAAAAGTTGTCATTACACATGTTTGTGTTTGTTCTTGTTGCATTTACACTGTTCTGAGCAGCAGGTCTCTTCAGCGCGCGGTGATTCAAACCACTGAATCATTTTGTGAAGCAACTGACTCGGAGTTTCGAAAGATCCGTTTCTCTCAACACAAATGGTCAGAATGAATGACTGATTTTTTTAAATTATTATTTTAGTATTATATTGTATTTACGATTATCTGACTACATAGATAAATGCTGTGTGGATGTGCTTTACTCACACAAAATAACGTTAATTATTAGGCTAGATAAAATATTACAATGTTACATTTAATAATTATCAACTTTGCATCGCTTGTAAACACTATAAAATAGACTGAATGCGTTTGTATGAATTCAAACACTTTAAATGATTAAGAACACAAACCTTTCTTCAGCTGAAACACAGATGCAGGAGTGCGGCGCAGCCTTATGACGTCATGCCACCAGATCAAAATAAAAGTCCTGTCTACAATCCAGAAAGTGCTTAGATAGTTACATAAAGGAAACACATTCGAATAATAAAACATGTCAGCGGTATTCAGTTTTATTCTTGGTGAAATACATATTGAAATATAAAAAAAAATAAAAATAAAATTATTTAAAAAATATTTACAAATTATATTTCCTTATTTATTTATTATTATATTTTTCAAAATGTATTAATTAATTAATTAATGTATTTATGACAACATTTATTTCCACAATTATTTATTTCCATGCTTATTTATACATTCACTTAATTTTTTATTTATTCATGCATTATGTCAACATTTATTTATTTCCAGATTTTTTTACTTTGTGAATGATTATGCTAAACTCACTTCCGAAGAGGATTCGAGCATCGATTGTTTACCACTTCCAGAAACCTGGCTAACAACCCCATTATAAAAATTTGGCAGCATCTGCATCTAGTTCTCAAACATGGTTA